TTTACTTCTATGCGTAAGCGGAAACACATATCTCAGACCTAGAACCGTGCAACATGAGAAAAAGAAAAAAATGTCATGGAGTGAAACTCTCTCGTAGCAAACTGTCATGAGACGTCGGGCGCAAACATGGAATGTCCTGACATATATCTTCAAGGACTGAATCTGCACATCGGTCTAATTCCGGACTTTCTTTTACTTATTGTCATTAATACCGTAATAAGCAGGCCGCTGAGCAGACTTCCTGTGCTTAATTTTTACTTATGCTTTGTTTATGAAACCTAGTAATTCTATATAGTGCCTCATAATATCGTTTGCTTGAATATTTTCTCGTTGAGGTTCTTCAACACGTTGTATGGGGAACGAATGCCTTTGTTGGAACCCTGTTCACCGATGCTCCACCTGATTGCGCCATTGTCAAGGATATCGTCCGCAAGGTGAACACAGATGAAGCTGTTGCCAGTCAGCATAAATGAGTAGAGTGTGGTACTGAGAAAACTGGTAGTTTGTCAGCCCCTTCACTATTTTTTTGTCTCTGGATGGTGTATTAAAATGCAAATTCAATTCCATCTCCTGCTGAGTTTGCCTAATCAAGGAATAGCTCTGATTTATTCTCTCGGGAAATGTATTGTGTCTTGCTTTTTTATAGAAACAAAGTTCATTTTTATAAGGTGGCATTCTGAAGTTTCCTCCTACACTCTCATCCCCTTCGTTTCGTGATCCCGGTTCGCACGATTTAATAGGTATATAGTGTATGTGGAATCAAGTAATTACTGTTTACTAGAGCGTAAAAAATTCGCCATGTACAAATATTTTAGAGAAGGAATAAACTTTTATGAGATGTATTTTCGAAGATTACTTGGCATTATTTACCCTTTCTTGACCCCATCATCCGGAGTCAAGCCCAGTTTTTGACTGACCTTTTTCTCCGTGGGCACACTTGGCTCAAAACTTGCCCCCTGGGGTTTTGACCAGAATACGAATATCACATCCGCTTGGCAAGAAACCTGGCGCTCGCGCCACAGGCGCCGACGTCAAAATACCCCAAATCACCAAATTCGCTGAAAACTTGTTCCCAGGCATTCTTTGACCCTCTTAACACGGATATTACATTCGCCCAACACGGAACCCAATCGCGCCTGCGCCATTGATGAGGGTGCGAAAATACCCCAAGTCACCTATTTCCCTAAGAAGTTATCCGTGGGAATAGCTCAGCCTCCCGAGCACGAAGATTCATCTGTATGGGGCGATGAGAATGTTCAGGATGAAGTCAAAGGGGTACACGTGATAGCGGAATTTGTTTCTCTTCGTCTGAACCCTTCCCCCGGAATAGTGGCCCATTCCTCTGCTAAGGCTAAATGAATGCTGCTTTTCTTCACCGCTTCCCTAACTGCCCTAGCACACAGCTCCGCAAGAAAGCGAGAGTTTCTGCTACACGCGCAGGAATCGAAACAGGCATGGGATGAGTCATTTGTGACGCATGCAGTTTCAGAATGTATCTTCGTGTACAGAAGGCCAAATTACCCCAGTTGACAAGGATCCAGCGATATTTGGTGATTGCGAGTATTTTGGCGCCTGCGCCAGGAGGTTTGGCCGAGTATTTTGCGCCGCGTTTCTGCGCGGAGGTTTCAACAGCGCGCAGCGGGCGCGGATGTTTTAAATTCGTGTTTCAGCGAGGTACACAAAAATACAACCAGCGATAAGCATAACTTTTTGGCAAGATTCTTGCCTGGCATTAGAAAAAGTGGATTCAAAGACTTGGTTTCTCTCATATGGTTGGGCATGGAAAATGATAAATGTGCGAGGACCACAACAATTACGAATGTAAGTTAAAAACATTATTTAAAGCCACTATGGCCCTAATAGGTCAAACATGCGCGTCACATCCAAATAGTCAGCAGCTTAGTGTTTTATAGCTACTTTGTTGCAGTTTTCATTCGCGGGCGAACTTCTAGTGCCTTCATGATTTTTCCTGATATGTAGGTAGAAAGAAGACGCCTTGCGCAACTTTCGAAATAACATTGATCTAAGGAAAAAGATTAAAAAAATAACTGGAGTTTCAGTCTTACGCCCTTGATTATTGGAGAGGAAGGTGTATTATGTGTACGGCCTTTGCTTTCAAACTTGAAATGTCCCCCAATAAGTCCGAATACTGTTTGCGACTTGTTCCATATCACTGCGCTCACTGTAGGGCGCCACTCTGTCATGGTCAAGGGAGCTAACACCTGCGTCGTCTTCAGAAAAGATGTCGATGTCAAAGCACAGTGTCGCGTTTGTGTCAGCGCTTGTAAGCTGGAGTTATTTTAAGGTATGCAACGTATAGGTCTGTAACCAGCACAGATTGACGGACGTTTTACTCAACTCCTTGAAAGCCCGTCTGTCAACCAACCGTAATTGACAACATCTTAACTGCCGCTAATGAACATGCATGCTTCTCCGCAAGCTCGATTACCAGGGAATTTTTCTGTGAAGGATGCCACATGAGTTGCTCTGTCAAGGCGACCGAATGATCGTGACTGAGTCTTCTCTTCGTTTGAGCAGATGTGGAAGACGATTTTTTCGAGACACTGTGGCGTTTGGTAAAGACAGGCCGGAGTTCTGTTATGCGATTCACCTGCATCACGCAACTTCACAGCATCTTCAGGAGCAAAATGGTTTGCTGAGCGCAGACGTGCATGCAAAAAGGTTTTAATGTATTATTGGATAGCACTTAAAAGCGATGTCGTTGGATGCTGTCACAGAAGTGACGGTCACAGTCTACCTAATCAACCTCAGAACATGGATGACGTCACGCTTGAATTCATTCAGAAAAACTTAACTTCTTCCTACTACTCGGCAATGAGAAGATCACATGTGGCGATGAGGCTTCGTCGAAAGTTTATGGATCTCGACCGGAGAATGGACCGCACCCAGGTTATTCACAGCAGCCCCTATCTAAGGCGTCTTTTTATCCCTACTGCTTCCATTAGAAAGCAGAAAATTTGGAGAAATCACGCTTACTCTGGAGAAGGCAAGAGGAGCCGAGAACTGTGGGATGAAGGGCACTAGTCTTAGTTACTAACGGTGATTGCTTTGTTGATTGGAGGTCTCGCTGAGTGAAGGAAAATTTGCACCGAAAATTTGGTCAAAGTGTCGCAGGGCTTTCCTCCCAACCCAATACCATCTCAGTGGAGGTAGTGAGCTCTACAGCGAGGTACAGAAGTAACGGCAACATCTTCCACTCTTACAAACGTAGCCACTGCTCCGCTCATTAGTGACACCTGCACGTACAAGCTCTTCTTCTTCCAGCAGGATGCCTATGAACCCCCCATATCTATCAGGACACAACAACAGAATGAGTTTCATGAGACTTCTTTTATTTACAAAGGCACTAGTAGTAGTAGTATGTACATGCTAAGCATTACAAACATAGTGGTCAATAAATCTCATTTAAAAGTCGATGGCCACAGGGTATTTTCCAGTAAGACACCCCGTGCAATGGCCAATATCGAAGTTTGTCCGCCGTTCGATACCTGACTGTACTGCCTGAAATCGTCCTTGTTAGGTGTGACATTTGCAGTGTCAACTGCAGGACATACCTTGAGAAGTCCTTCAACTGATAAGTACTCCACTGAGGTTGCCCCGATATGTTCAGTGATCTCAGTGAGGTCTCGCGTACCAGCCAGTAACTCTTCAACAGTCGGTATATTTATTCCCATGAAACATGGGAATTTTACTGGAGGTGACGCGATGCGGAGATGTACCTGAAATGAGCCCTTTACTGTAGTGTTGCAAAAGTAGCGCAACAGAACTGACTAACCTCCTTTGCACCTGCGCTCCATAGCATGTCCACTAGTATTCGCATTGTATTACCTCGTACTATTGAGTCGTCAATAAGAACGATACGGCGACCTTCGACGTTCTTCCGCAACACACCTGAGGCATCATGAAGTGTAATGGAATGCCCACGAGAGCGTTCTTGTACACTATTGCTAACGGGCCTTCATATCAAAGCATAAAAGGGATAAAGCCTTCATCGTTGATCAATCCCCTGTCGGGGAGCAGCACGCATTCTACTTCTTGTAGTAGCTTACTGAAGGCGATATGGCCTATAATGTGACCTGCACAGCCTGCCGATTTACATGTTGCTGTTCTCCTCTCAGACGAATAAACTGGACCCAATTTACGGCCCAGGAGATGTAAAGGAAGGCTTGTTCGCTCCTGTGGCGGGAGCCGATCCGGATATTAGACGCCGGGCCACGTGTGCTTATGCCTGCCGGGCCACTGTCACTACAACGCTTCGGTTACGCTTTCCATTTGCCCCACGATTATTGAATCCATACCAAAAGATGCGGAATTCAGTGCGCAGCGTTTCGGACCAACGCTTCGTCACTGCTAAAGCAGAGAGACACTGAAAAGTGGAGAAAAACAGTTTAAACCTCTCCAGGTCTTTTGTCTCATGCTTATTTTGCAAAGATTGTCAGAAAAGGCAACTTTTTGGAAAGATACTAAAAATGGTAGTGGATCGCGGGGGGGGCGGGCCGCTTCACCACCCATCGCAGAGGATCCCTCATGGACGCAGCTCGTGCAACCTAGCCTATCCATCCTTAAGGCCAGGAGACTGGTAATCACTATCCTAGGGAATAAGTGGAAAGGGGGGGAAAAAAAAAGAAAAGAAAGGGCGAAGGAGAAAGAAGTGAAAGGGGGGGAAAAAGAAATCTCGGCTGGCTTGCAAGTTATTGTAGGATCAGACGGGCTGTCGAATGTCCATTGATTTCGAAATGAGTAGAATGGTGGCTCATCCAGGGGAAGTCTTATATATGCAGTTTCTTCGCCAAGTACGCACTTTTCGTTGTGAAGTAGTGCTCATTCACGTTCAAAAGTCTAGCCACTAACCGAATTTCTTGTGGATTGCTGATCGCCCCGCATTGCATTTGATGGCTGTATGAAGGATCGCCCGACGTAGCTGTTGCGGTGAAGACATGGCTCGTAAGTAATTCCCGACTGAAAGTGACTTATTCTAGTTGTTATATTCCGGTGATCAAATGCATCATGCTGCCAGTTCCACTGCACCATGTTGAAATTGGTGGGTATGGTGTACTGAATGATCAAGAGGTGTCACCCCCATGTTTTAACCCAGGCTTTATAGTTCGTAGGATGAAGACGACAGTACCCACCTTTCTTGCTAGCCATTCAAAATAAACGAAGTCGTAATAGGGTGATTTTTTCTTCTTTACACTGCTCTTTTTCTATTGGGACTTTCTCTATAAATCCTCAAATATGGCGTAGAATCAGCCTCCCACACCGCATCTTTTGTTTCACAGTACAACTTCTGATAGTACTGTAGTTTTGCCGCAGCGACAACACGTGGAGGTACATATATATAGCACTCTCGAGAAAGGAAAAATATTCCGAGAATATTCTGCTGAGCCCAAATACGTCCTACAATCGATGGAAAGGAGCAAAGGGTCGTCTCGAATGAAGGTTGAGTAACGGATCATAGTTCTAACAGTACTCATAGAAAAGGTCGTATTGGGCAGATCCCTAAGAAAAGTAGATGGGAAACGCGCTATAGCAAAAAGCGTGGATCTGCTTTCTTCTCGCCACTATTCGAACAGTGACACGGTTACTGCACTTAAGGAGCCCAGCATTCGCTTACCTGAGCAGCATAGCCGATTGCAGCCGAGGTTGAGGAATCAGGCACGTTTGAGACGATGTCTGCCTCGACATGCTTCTCTTGGGCAAGGATTTTACCACACTCTCTGTGCCAATGAGTACGCATTCATAATTTCACTAGGATATGACAAACATGGAGACCAGGAATTTTTCTACGCCTTCATGGTGAATTTTCGAAGACAGTTCCTAGGTGTTGTAACACCTTATTCGCTTGCAGATATCATCAGGGGGCTGCATCTGGCGTAGCGCCAACTCGTCCTGCACCAAATTCTTGTCGTTGCCCGCGCCTCAACAGCTTGTGTGGGAACTGGCTCGGCGCGATTCATCTCGCTGGCTTGCTTCAGCATCCGCAGCGAACAGGACTGTAAACTGCTGCGGCTCCGTAAGTGATACAAGAGCCTTCATAGACGGCTGGAGCTGACACTCAAGACTATGTTCATCGAAATTTTCGACCCAGTGGTCTCCAGGTATCCCGACCACACACGAAAACCGTATCAAAAAATAGCTTTGAGTTATGCGAAAGCTGGGGAATTTACGGTAATTACTCACACAGCAGTTTGCATTCATTGCCGAATTGAGCTGAAAAACGCTTTCGTTTTGGCCAGGTGGGACTGCAGGTGTCCATTTCAAGAAAGGTGTTCCATGGAAGAGCGGCAGCGACTTTGTAGGCGCGAGCTGCAGCAGCGAAATCAACTGCAGGCGACAAATGGCAAAGGGCATTTCACGTGGGAATAGCCTTCGTGGCAGCAACAACAAGAACGACAAACAAAGTACAGAATGATTTGCAAGTCCTTCTCGATTCTGACGCCTTTACCTCACACTCTTGAATGGTGAAAGTGATATACTCTCCGTGACTACAGGCCCAATTATGGGTGTATCTTTGACAGCAGCAGGTGTCTTTGAACAACCAATCCCGAGAAAAAAAGGCAAACCATATTTTTAAGGAACTAACTAGATCCTCATGTGTATACTTGACAAACACGCTTCAGAAAACCAACCTCACGGTTTGTACCTGCTGCCCTTGCATGATCGAATCGTTTCTGGCGAAATAAACGAATTCAAAGATGCACATGGCTTGTGGTAATTGTGGCTTCATCTGCAAAAGAACTTATAGTATACAGAATGCAGCAGCAGCCTACCAAAATGAAAGTGGTTTCTGTTGTTGTCTCCACCTCTCTTTCCTAATTATTGTCCTTGCAAAATCTGAGCTGCTGACTTCGGGAAGTGGTGAAGGCGAAGGGCGTAAGTGAACCCACCTACCAAATGCACGGTTGAGGGGACAGCCGAAATCTCTCATCAGTTTTTGCCCAGGCCAGCTGAGCTTACCATCCCTTCGCGGTCGGGTAAAGAAAACTGGAGTTTGGAAATTTTCATCACAGGAATTCTATAAAAACCTGCTGGTCATTACGAGGCCAAATACCATTCTAAAGGCCACTACTATTCTGAGTGAGAGTGAGGTGCACAACGCAAGAAGGGATTGATCACATCGGAAGCTTTATGATCTGTATCTCCTCCTATTCCGAGAAGGGCTTCACAGGTTCATTTAATGCGTTGCGTTTTGCGATGCGATTTACCCAGTCCCAGGAAAGAAAGAAAATTAGTTATAGTTAATGTAATGAATAGCAAACATTGGACGTTTTTCGCTGCCACTGGGAGGCAACAGACAGAAGTGTGGCGGTGCATGGTGGAACCGGTGCCACATCGCAAGTCATGGATCAAGTTCCAAACCACCTCAGCCTTCTACCACTCCGTTATCAGTGGAGGCCAGAACAGTGACTCATACAGCCTCCAACTTGTAGTCTGCTGCATTAGTCGAGTACGGTTCCAAACGCCTCTGTAGTTTCAAATATCGGTCATATGTGTGGCGCATCCTAATGGTTCTAGTGAAGGCGTCATTCTGGTTCATCCACCCATAGACGGCCGCGGATAAAAGGTAAAACGTAACGAAACCATTGAAAAGCAACTGAGTGGGTGTACCTGATATACAGAGCGTATGCCCTTTCGGGATAATTCTACGATCTCACCGGGCTGCACTTCGAAGTTCAGCTTACCAAAGCTCGGAAGAGCGCAAGTCTCAGAAGCTGCAATATAAGCCAGCGGAACGGAGGAACACTCTGAAACGAATAGAAAATAGCAACTACTCAACTAGAACCCCGACTGTCTTTTAAAGGCAGTTGGCACGATAAATCCCCAAGACGACTAGGATCAATACTCCTGGCAGGATAGAATTCCGCGACCCTGGGCAGGCGCTGCATAGCGGTTTCCCCGAGGAAGGTGCCCTTATAAGGGCCCTATCAAGCCACAACTTTACGTCCCAAACGCCCGCCACGCCCGCCCGCCCACAAATGGACGACCGTTCCTGACGCTCGTATTCATTCATTTGCTAAGCAAATTATGAAGCGAAGGGATTGGTATGATGCTGCATGCATACATGGGTACACATATGCAGCCGTATCTTCGGTAGCGGTGATTGGTAAGATGCCTACGGGAAACTCGTCCGAAATCGATTTACAAGTCACTGAGAACGGAGGCTTTTTCTTCGCAGGATTTTGACCGTTTCACTCCGTTCTTTCGCCATTTCCCCACTATACAGCGCCCTACTAGCATTTTAGGCTAAGTAGGAAACCATCGTGCCAACTGCCTTTAAGGTTCCGCTTGTTGATAGGATATGCTAGTGGAGAACATAAACTAACGTTTGGTATCGTAAATTGTTCCGACACATAAAGGGCGATTGCCGTAAGGATCCCGTATGGCATATAGACGATCGTAAGTCATCACTACTAACGAGTAGGACATGTTGAGCGACGACATCGTTACCGCGAGCTCCTGAACTAATTATCCTATGACAGACAAGAGAAGAGCATGCTTCATTATCATTGATAAGTTGACAATAGGATTGTGGGCACAGCCTACCCTTCAATGTCCCTGCCTTGGGTCGCAGCCTTGATTTGTCTAGGAATTTTCCCCGAAGGGCAGTTTGACCCGCTGAAACCAAGTATCACATCTGCTTGGCACAAAATTTATGGCGTTTGAGTTACCGGCCAAGTGTTTTCACGGGAAATTGGGCGCGATGTTCGTGCTCAGGGAGCCAAACTATCTCCGAAAACAAGCTTGTAGCGTATTTTTTGGTACTTTCGTGCTGGCGCTCATGGAGCGGGCACTGGGTGTTTCGTGACGAGTGGATGTAACCTTCGTGTTCAAGAGGTCTGATTATCTCCACCTTCGAAGAAAAAAAATCGGTAAAAACTCAGAGTGAATTCGAAGAGGTGGGCACCCAAGGGCGAATA